AGTCTCTCTATGAAAGTCAACATCTTAGTTATTTCATGGGCAATCGTTGAACATGAATGAAAATAAGGTATAGAGCCAGAATATCCCAGTTTTGAGAATGTTATGATGGAAAATATAATGTAAAATAGTAAAGGATCCTGAGGAGATAGCAGCAATGGTAGTAAAATTTTAGAATCTCCTGAAATTTCCCCATAAATATAGGTAGAACAACTAAAATAGCAATACCAAATCTGACACACAATACCCATGATAAAACTAAATGAGTAAGCTACTCACATGGACAACAAAATAGGAGCAGGTGGGTACAAACTACAAAAAATTACATGACCCACATAATATTAGCATGTTTGAGAGAAAGGAGGGTGGAAAGAGGTCTGATGGATTTGAGAAATGAGAACTTCAAAATTGCAACAAGCACTTAGTGGAAATTGCAGCAAGACAAACTGAGAACAGCAGCCAAAACCGTGAGGCTACTGGACCAAAATCTGAAGGTGTTGGAGAAGTGTGAACCCAATGAACACTTAAAACCCACCAATAAAGATCCTTTCCAAGAAAACTTTACAAGAAAATAAACAACCAGATTAAAAAGTGGGCAAAAGATCTGAACAGACATTTTAGCAAAGACGATATTTTGTTGTCAAATAAGCATATAAAAAGATATTCAACAGCATATGGTCTTAGGGAAATACAAATTAAAAAAACAATGAAATACCATTACACTCTATTAGAATATCCAAGACCCAGAACACTGATAAACCAGATGCTGGAAATGATGTGGTGCAACAGAAACTCTCATTCATTGCAGGTGGGAATGCATAATGGTACAGCCACTTTGGAAGATAGTTTGGCAGTTTCTTACAGAACCATACATATTCATACCACACAACCCTACAACTGTACTCCTTGTCCAAAGGAACTGAAAACTTAGGTCCACACAGAAACCTTCCTATGAATGTTTATAAAAGATTTAATCATAATTACCAAACTTGAAAGCAACCAAGATGTCCTTTAGTAGGATTTGAGAAGGTAAATAAATTGTGGTAAATACAGACAATATTATTCAGTAATAAAAATAAATGAGTTATTGAGCCATGAAAAGACATGGATGAACCCTAAATGCATATTATTAAGTGAAAGGAGCCAATACATACTGTATAATCCCAATTATATGGCATTCTGTAAAAGGCATAACTGTGGAGACGGTAAAAAGATCAATGGTTGCTAAGGGTTTGGCTGAATGGAGGGACAAATAGGTGGCGCACAGAGAATGCTGAGATTTGTGAAACCATTTTATGTACACTATAATGCATGTCATTTTGAATACATGTCATTATACATTTGTCAAAACCCACAGATGTACAACACAAAGAATGAACCCTATTGTAAATTATGGGTTTGGTTGATAATGATAATCAGTGGTTCATAGATTATAACAAATGTACCATACTGATGTGTGATATTGATGGAAGGGTAGGTTGTATTGTGGTGGTGAGAGAAGAAATAGCTAGAGAAAATGTAGGCAGACAGACAGGGAAGGTCCCCAGTAACACAGTAGCAAACTTCCTGCAGGCCTCAGACTGATACAGTCCCATTGGTAAACAAGCTCTCCATAAGCCCAGTAGACTAGGACAAGAAAACACTCACTACCTGATTGAAAAACAACCAATCAGCTCACTGCTAAGTTCTGACCAATCAGTTCACTGTTAGGTCCCTACCCCCAGCCAACTGGTTCTTAGCACTGACCAATCCTCACAGTTAGTGCCAATGAATCAGCTCACAGCTAGTGCTGGCCAATTGGCTGGGTCTTAGGGCTATATAAGCACCAGGTTTCAGTTCCAAATCAGTAACCCCTTGGGGTACCCTCTCACTGTGCGAGAATTTTTTGTCCTCTCAATAAATCCTGCTTTTGCACCTTCCTGCCTGCTGTGTCCCTCATTCCTCCTGAGCTCCAGTCAAGAACCTAGGCCTGAAGAGCTGCAGATCATCAGAGAAGACAGCCAGGCACCCTGGAGGCTGGCTTGTCAGTCCACCGATTCAGCAACACTCTCAGGGCTTAGCTTGACAGTACATTAGAGCCAACACTCCTGGTGCTAGGCTTGCTAGCCTTTTGAGCTGATACTCTTTGGGGCTGGGCTTGCCTACCCATTGAGCGAACACTCTTGCAGTTGTTAGGAGAAAATCTGCATCAGTGGAGTGGAGGGTGATATGTGGAAACTCTCTATACTTTACACCCAATTTTTCTTTGAGCCTAAAACCACTCTAAAAGATAAAGTTTATTAATAAAAATTTATGAAAATTTAAAAATTCAACAAATTTTAACAATTAATGTGGGGGAATGAAAAACCTAGCAAGTTTTAGATAATAAGCCCATACTTTTGACACTTTGAAAAAACAATAGAATAAGAGGCTGTGGGCTATAAATTAGAAAAATCAGATTTAAAAAATCTATTCTGTAACTTCTAGTTCTTGACAAGGTGAAGTACACCCATTTCTCTGTATTCTCTCTAAGTGTATTTAAAAACTTGGATATTATATCTAAAACAAACATAAGACTATGAAAGGTGAAGAGAAGATAGACCAGTTACGGACCTTCGGACACAAAGAATGACATGACAGTGAGTTTCCAGCATCCTCCCGCCATTTCTTTCCCTCATATATTCCTAGACTGAGTGCTGAAGAGGTCAGCATCCTAAAAACACCAATGGGTGCAACCCAACAGGCCAAAAAAGTAGCAGTGAAGCTTGCTCTTCTTAGCCAAAGGACCAGGATAGGAGCACCCTAGCCAAGAAAGAAAACTTTTAGACAATAACAGCTCTATTCCAGGCCAACACCATGGGAAAAAACTATGGCTTCCACACTTACCCCTACCAGTAAAGGCCAGTGAAGAGTGTGGACTGCAAACCACGCTGCAGTAGTGAAGAACCCTTTCCTTTCCCGCTGGCTGTGGCAAAGGAGGCCTCATAGAAAGCTTGGATTTTTGCCACCTTCCAGTGTTAACAAGACCCTCCCCTCATAGTGAAAGTGGAGGACACCTGGGAGCTGTAACAAGATAATTCTCCCCCTTTCAGACAGAGTTGTAGAGCAGATCCTGAAATGTCATCCCTGTCCAGTGGGTACTGAGACAACCCCTTTCTTCCCTGGGGATCCATAAAGGCTGAATAGGAACCTGTTCTTCCACTCCCACCTGGCAGTAACAAAGATGTCCATTCCCCCTCCCCTCCCCACCAACCTCCTCCCACCCCATATCCCTTGGTGCAGTAGCAAGAGCAGCCTGCTAAACAGACTTAGATCAGAAATGAACAGAATAGGCTGGGTGCGGTGGCTCACATCTGCAATCCCAACACTTTGGGAGGCTGAGGCAGGAGAACTGCTTGAGTTCAAGGGTTAGAGACCTGCCTGGGCAACAGAGTTAGACCTCGTCTCTACAAAAAAAAAAAGACTAGCTGAGCATAGTTGTATGTGCCTGTGGTCCCAGCTACTTGGGAGACTGAGGTGGGAGGATCACTTGAGTCCAGGAGTTCAAGGCTTCAGTGAGCTATGATCACAGCCACTGAACTCAGCCCGGGTGCCAAGGCGAGACCCTACCTCTGAAAAAATAAAATGAATTAAAAAATGAAAAGAATTGAAAGTCTAGTAAATAAATAGAAAATATAAAGAAGAACCAAGTAAACATTTTAGAACTGAAAATAAAATACAAAAAATAGGCTCAATGGATAGTTTCAATAGCAGTATGAATAGGACAGAGAAAAGAATCAGTGAATTTAAGGATAGAATAATTGGAATATCCAATCTGAAAAACAGAGAGAAAATGGACTGAAAAAAAATTCTCATTCCATTTTGCCTTCCCAAAAACCAGGAATTCATTTCATATAAAAATACTCAACAAGAAAGGATCATAGTAAAATCAAGTATATATTATAGTTATTAAGGTAAAAATAAATAACTCCCCTGCAAAAATGTGAAAGTTTTTTCAGAGAGGCATGGTCTTAAAATAAATCAAAATTATACTTGAGATTTTAAGTTGAGATAATAGAAATTAAAAAAATAATGTAGGTAATGAGAAAACAACATACATTCGGATTAGAAAACCTAAAAAAATGTGATTAGAGAAAAAGATTTGAGAAAAGATGGAACACAACTAATGAAAAAATTTTTTAAAAATTTCAACAAAGATGACAAAACTGAAAGGAACACAGAAGCAATTGGTAATGTTCTCAGGAAAACAATAAATGCTTAAATTCAAAATAAATAGAAAAGATGAAAAAGTAATAGACAAAGAAGATCCACCATATGAGAGTTCTGAAATAAGAAAAGCAAAGTAATGCAACAGAACAAATATACCAACTTATAATTTAAGAAAACTAAAAATAAGACTTGAAATTATATAGTGAAACTACACACTGCATACTAGGAAAATCAACCCAGAAGAAGAAACACTGAGATATGTCATAATAAATTTACATAAATATTTTAAAAAATTTTTGGTATCTAGGCAACAACTACAGAATACATGTTCTTTTCAGCTGCACATCAAACTTTCACAAGATATGCCATGGTGGACCATAAGGTAAGATTCATTGGAAATGACTATAAGAGATTTAAATTAGAACTCAATAAGATATATTTAAAATTCCAAATATTTGGTAATTAAAAAACATATTTCTAAATAACATATTTCAAAAAAGCAATCCCAAAAAAGATCAGAAAATGGAATGATAAAACACGATATATCAAAATTTGTAGGATGCAGTCAAAGAAATTTATAGCTTTAACTGCCTACATTGGGAGGAAAAAGATTTGAATTCAGTTACCTAACTTTCCAGTTTAAGAAACTAGAAGAAGAATAAATTAAATCCAAAGTATTATTGGAAAAAACTATGATGAGAAATCAATAGATATGTAGGCAAAGGGAAAAAAAGGTTGACTCGTTAAAAAAAAATTTTCACATTCACAATTATAGCAAGACTATCTCTATAGTTATAAAGCAACAAAACCCTTACCTTGGACAATTCTGAAATTTTACCAAAACCAGGCTTCCAAGAGCGAGCTGTGAATAGACTATCTTAAATCCACTTCGATTAAGCTGAGACTCTTCAGGAAAGTCTTCTTCAGAAATAGAGCAGTTATTATATCTTGAATTAGTGTTCATGAAGCAGTACCATGGTTCATCATGGTCAACTTTGGCTGCATCGTCACTTGACAACAATCTCCATTTCAAACAACTTTCATTCTCACATTGAATCCACACTTTGTTAACGTACATGTTGTTTTCCATTGAGGAATTCATTGTATTATTACACTATTCAACTATCTTACCATCCAATTTCCCTTTTTTAATTAATGTATTTAATCTGGAAATAAGAAAGAGAAAAATAAAAGGATTTGAGAGTATAAGGAGAGAAATTTCCAACCAAAATCAGATAAATGCCTCTTTGATATCTTCTTTGCCCTTCACTCTCTATCTTATAAAGACTATACATGTCGAATGTGTTATGTTTGCATCTGCCCAGAAACAAAGAAACAGAGTATCAATCACTCTGAGCATAAATACTACAAAATTAAAAATAAGAAAAGCATGATGGAGCAGAAAAGAAGTAGATGTTAGCAATAATTTTTATCAGTGTATTACATAGCACACATCTGGTAATATACACATTACTTTTTTGCCTCAATAACAACAGCTAAGTCTTGCTGAATGCTCACTATGCAACAGGTATTATTCCAAGTGCTTTATGCACATGGCTCATATCGTCTTCCCAACAACCTTATTATGTCCATTTTTACAGAGAAAACTGAAACTAAGAAAATAATTTGTTTAAGGTTCCAGAGCTAATACATGATAGAGTTGGAATTTAAATGCAGGCAGTTTGGTTCTAAGTTTTGTGATCTTACTCATTAGTAGGCTGTATTGTCTCTTGGATATATAGCACCATTTAAAGAACCTTTATTCATGAATTAATCGTGTATTTAGAAACTCATTGATTTATACTTATTTGCCATATATATGTGTATATATGTATAATGACTAGATTATACCTTTTTTAACTCTCAGAAAAATCAAATACAGCAAAACATTTCAACATAGGAAAACTTGAGATTGTTTTTCAATTAAAGGAATCTTTCGCTTTTATAGTCTGTCAACCATTAATTCAAATTTGGTTTTGGTATCAACATTGTGGTAGCCTCATAAAATGAAGTAAAAACATCTCCCAGTTTTTGGAAAGTTGGCCTAAAGAAGGTATTTTCCAATTTTGTCATAAATTTTAAGAATTCTAGTATGTCTACTATATTTCTCATGTTTTTCTCGTTCACCTTGAAATTTGTTTATGCCTTCTCTTTCTCATTTATCTTGTCAGAACATATTAAATAACTAATTTGGAGTCTCATTTTTAAAAAATTCTGTTTAATTAGTAGCTACACTTTTTAAATTCTTCATTTCCTTTTACTTTCTTTGTTGCTCTTATTTTTATCTTCTGGGGTTGATGCTTAGTTAATTCATTTGCAGTCTTTTCTAATATGAGCATTGAAGACTATACATTCCTCTATAAATACTGTTTTATTATTTAGTTGTAAATATTCAATTTCCATTCTTTATATCCTTGACCCATGAATTATTTTCTTTCAATAAAATTTCAGAAGGTACAAATATTTGGGGCTCATCTTTCCATAACTGATTTTTAATGTAATTTCATTTTGGTCAGAGAGTATAATCTGTGTGATATTGATTTGTTGACATTGGTTTTGTTTTGTGGCCCTATTTACAGTAATTCTGAATGTTACATGTGACAAAAAATGATGTGCATTCCCTAATTTGGGGGTGTAAGGTCTACACTTAACCATTATACCAAGTTTTATATGAAACATTATAAACTAAGCTTTATGATTGTGAGGCTAAACTCTTCTCTGTCCATATCAAACTTTAATATAGCATTACTAAGAGAGCTATGTTAAAAATATCTTATAATGACCAGGTACGGTGGCTCATGCCTATAATCCCAGCACTTTGGGAGGCTGAGGTGAAATATTGTTTGTGACCGGTCTGGACAACATAATGAGACCCTGTCTCTACAGAAAATAAAAAATCTAGCTGGGTGTGGTGGTGTGCACCTCTAGTCCCAGCTATTCAGGAGGCTGATGCAGGAAGATCTCCTGCATCCAGGAGGGAAAGGCTGCGGTGAGTTATGATCATGCCATAGCATTCTAGCCTGGGTAACAGAGGTCCCTAACTCCAAAAAACCCCCAAAACAAAAAACCTCCCATATCAATTGTGGATTTGTCAATTTGCCCATGTAATTCTGTCAATGTTTCTGCTTATTAGATATATATACATATATAACAAATCTGAGCATTTGTTGCATCTTGTTAGCTAATTCATTTTATTATGTAATGATGCATTTATTTTTGATAATGTCTTTTGCCTATTAAAATCTTTTGATCCACTATTAGCATAGCAATTAAGCTGGCAGTTATGTTTTTGACTGGTTTGGTCCCAATTATGCCTTTACTATCCCTTTAATTTTAATTTTTTAAATATTACGTTTTTGGTCTTTGCCTTTCTTTAAATAGTATATAGCTGGGATGTGCATTTTTATCCAATCTGAGATATGATCTGCTAACTGGTGAACTTAGTTCATTTACTTTTATTTTGACAATGATATATTTGGATACTTTTGTGTGTCTTCTATTTATGCTATTTCTTTCCTTCTTCTCTCCTTTCCTAACTCATTGAAATAATTTAAGTTTCCTTCTTTCCCCTTCTGCTCTTGGAAGTTTACATATTATTTTTCTATTATTATAATAGTTATTATCACTACTACTCAATAGCTGTTTTAACAAGGTCCAAAGTAATCAATGCCTCTAACCTTCTGCAAAATAACAGAATGCTTTAACTCTGATAACCCTTTTGCCCTTATATCAGTTCTTTACAGCATCCTATAGTATTTTGCATTTATACCTCAAAATTAGTCATTATTTTCACTACTGTTTTTTATACTCAATGCACATTTAGATTTTCCATATATTTTCCAGCTTCTTTGCCATCATTATTTATTACAGCTCATTTCTGTCTTCTGATTTTAATTTGTTCATGCCAGATAGATCCGTAATTGGTTCAGCAGTGATACTAGTGGTAAACTCTCAGAAAAGAAAAAAAATAGATTTTTATTTTTTGTCTGTCCTTTTGAATGATAGCTTAGTTGAGTATATACTTTTAGGTTAGCAATTATTCATTTTCAAGATATTAAAGACACTATTCCAACATGTTTTGTCTTCCATTTTTACTGCTGAGAAGTTTTTGTACAGATATGCTGTATTTTCTTTCCATTTGTTTATAAGATATACTTTTTCTTTATCATTTTGAGTTTTACTAAAATGTGTTTTCATGGATTCTATTCAAAACTTCCTCAATCTGTATTTACATGTCTTATCTTTCATCAGTTATGAAAAATCATCAGTCATTATCTCTTTAAATATTGTCTCTTAAAATTCTCTCTATCCTTCTCCTCTGGAACACCTCCTAGGCATATATTGTCTTTTTAATTTTATATTCTAATGTCTTTTATAATCACTTTCATAAATTTCAATAATATTGCCCTGTGCTACATTCATGGTAATTTCCTCGGCTCGTCTCCTTTCAGTTATGTTTAATCTATTGGTAAGTTTTTAACTTCAGATCTTTTTATGTATGCAGTTCTATTTTTATTTTTTCAAATCTATATTACATAAGAAAAAGGTATTCATGTTATATAATTTATATTACCAGACTAGCAAACTATATTGCCAAAACTGTAATCTGTGCACACTTTTTTGTTTTTTTTTTGAGTTGGAGTCTCACTCAGTTGCCCAAACTGGAGTGCAGTGGCCGCCCCCGGCCATCGCAGCCTCGACCTGCTGAGCTCCGCAATCCTTCAGTCTCTGCCTTCCAAGTAGCTGGAACTACAGGCTCGGGCTACCACGCCCGCTGATTTTTTGATTTATTGTAGAGATGAGGTCTCGCTTGCCCAGACGAGTCTCGAACCCGCGGGCTCAGGCAATTCACTCACCTCAGCCTCCTAAGGCACGGGATTACAGGCTGAGCCACCAAGCTCGGCTGTGCACACTTTTTAATATAGGAATTACATTACATATTCTGTACTAGAGTTTGCCTTTTTCACCAAATGATGTGTTGTGAACACTTTCAATCACATAAATTATTCTTATACAATTTTTAATAGTAGTACAGCTCTTTACCATACCGATGAACCAGTTATTTTAATGATATTCTTTCACTTAGATATTTATTTAGATTATTCACAATTATTATTATAGATAACACTAAATAAAAACTTCAGTCAGTCAGCCAGCAGCCAACAAATCTTTACTAGGTGTATACTACATGCTAGACACTTTGACAGGCAATGGTAATAGAGTGATGAAGACAAATATAGTTCCTGCTCTCATCTTTATTCACAAATTGTTGAATACATTCCTAAATAGTCAAATGGCAAATTCCTAAAAGTAAAATTGCTAGCAAGTCAGTTTTTTTTAACATATCACATTAAAATACTTATCCTAGTTTATAGAAAAAAAGTGATAAGAGGAAGGAAAAAGAATGAACAAGTGAGGTAGTTTGGTTTATTATTATTTTTTAAAGTTATTATGGTGAATTTCCTATAGTAAAGAACACTATTAGGGTTATAAAATTTATAGAGCATTATCAAATTAGCAAATGACCTCAAGTTAAGCAAAATTTTAAATGATCATGAATCAAACTAGAAAAATTACAGTGTTTTATCCAATGCTCCCTAACACTGGCCACTCATATGTGAAGTACTTTAAAATTGTGGAAGTTTTGAATCATCCAGATATACTAAATAAGAATATCCAGAACTAGTACCCAAGAGTCAGCACTCTAAAAAAAAAGTGACTAATATGTATGCAGGATAGCAAACTTCTGCGCCAGAGTATCAACATGTTTTGAAAATTTTTTAATTTAATTTTTTAAATTCTCTTTCTATTAAGGAAAATGTCAACTGAGTCTGATAAAAATTCTATATTCATATTTAATTAGGAAAAGTTGTTAAATGTTCAGTAAAATTTTCATTGAGAATTATAATGAATCCCGAAAAAAGATTTTATCAGAATGATTTAAAACAAAAAAAGTTAAAAGAATTCATGACAAGTCAAGCCAAATCTGAAGTCCCTTCCATGTGATATGGTTAAGTTTTAAAAAGATATGAAATCATTTATCTTCATGGGAAATGGGAACAGAAACATATAAACTCTGTATCATAATTTTCTTTCTCATATCTAAAACACAAACACACCATGGTCATTCTCATATCACTATAGTATTTAATACAGCTCTGTAAAT